GAGATGTTGAGCATTTTTTCATGTTTCTTGGCCATTAGTCTATCTTCTTTTCAAAAGTTTCTGTTCATGTCCTTTTCTCACTTTTTGATAGGGTTGTTTGATTTTTTCTTGCTGATTTTCCTGAGTTCTATATAGATTCTAGTTATTAGCCCTTTATCAGATGTGTAGCATGCAAAGGTTATCTGTTTGCTCTCATGATAGTTTTCTTGACAGTGCAGAAGCTTTTTAATTTGATCAGGTCCCATATTTTTATTTTTGTTGTTGCTATGATTGCCTTTTGGGTCTTCTTCATAAATTCTTTCCCTTAGGCCAATGTCTATAAGAGTTTCTCCAACATTTTCTTCTAAAATTCTTTAATTTCATGTCTTAGGTTTAAGTCAGTTACCCAGCATGAGTTGATTTTTGTGAGAGGTGAAAGGTGTGGTTCCTGTTTCAGTCTTCTACATGTGGCCATCCAATTTTCCCAGAACCATTTATTGGATAAGGATTCTTTTCCTCAGTGTATGCTTTTGTCTGCTTTTTCAAAGATTAGATGGCTATATGAAGATGGTTTTATACTTGGGTTCTCCATTCTGTTCCATTGGTCCATGTCTCTGTTCTTGTGCCAGTAATATGCTGTTTTAGTTACTATAGTCTCATAGTATAGTTTGAAGTTTGGAAAATTGATGCCTCCCAATTTGTTCTTTTTGTTTAAGATTGCTTTTCTGTACAAGATCTTCTCTGGATCCATATGAAGTGTAGAATTTTTTTTTCTAGATCTACAAAAAATGATGTTGGTATTTTAATAGAGATTGCATTGAATCTGTAGATCACTTTGGGTAGTATAGACATTTTAACAATGATGATTCTGCCAACCCATGAGCATGGTATGGTTTTCCACCTGTTTATGTCCTCTGCTAGTTCTTTCCTCAGTGTTTCACAGTTCTCCCTGTAGAGGTCTTTCACCTCCTTAGTTAAATATATTCCTAGATATTTTATTTTGTTTGCTGCCATTGTGAAGGGTATTGAGTCTTTGATTTGGTTCTCAGTTTGACTATTGTTGGCGTATGGGAATGCTACTGATTTCTGCACATTGATTTTGTAACCTGAGACTTTTCTGAATTTGTTTATCAATTCCAGTAGTCTCATGGCAGAATCTTTGAGGTTTTCTCAATATAAAATCATATTGTCAGCAAAGAGTGACCTCTTCTGCCCCCATTTGAATGCCCTTGATTTCCTTCTTTTGTCTGATTGCTCTGGCTAGGACTTCAGGACTAAGTTGAATAGAAGTGGTGATAGAGGGCAACCTTGTCTGGATCCAGTTCTGAGCAGGAATTATTTAAAATTTTCCCTGTTCAGTGTGATGTTGGCTGTGAGTCTGCTATATATGGTTTGTATCATTTTTAGGTAAGTCCCATCTATGCCTATTTTGTTAAGCATTCTTATCATAAAAGGGTGCTGAATTTTGTTGAATGCTTTTTCTGCATCTATTGAGAGGATTATATGGTCTTTGTTTTTGCTTCTATTTATGTGGTGAATTACATTTATAGATTTGAGTATGTTGAACCATCCCTGCATCTCTGGGATGAAACCCACTTGGTCCTGATGGATGTATTTTTATAAGCACCTGAATTCAGTTTGCTAGGATTTTGTTGGTAATGTTTGCATCCATATTCATAAGAGATATTGGTCTGTAGTTTTCTTTTTTTGTTGCATCCTTTCCTGATTTTAGTATCAGGGTGATGTTGGCTTCATAAAACATGTTGGAGAGGATTCATTCCTTTCAATGTTGTAGAATAATTTCTGCAGGATAGGCACCAGTTCTTCTTTGGGTGTGAAACCATCTGGTCTGGGTTATAACATAATTAAAAGCATTTCCTGTCACTCTCTTAAAGTGTCTCAGTTTGGACATTTTGGCCTACATGCCTGAGAATTCAATACAAAATTGTCCTTGAGAGCACTGAAGTCAGACATTCAGGCATTGATGGTAGGGTTGGCTCCAGAGCAGCCTTCAGCCCTGACTTTAGTCATCTTCCATCCACCACCCCTTCTCCCACATGCTCAAGATCAGAGCCCTGAGCCCCAAAATAGATACACCCTGTTAACAAGCAAAGATATGTTTGCTTGTTAAACATATCACCCCACCCCAAACTGCCAATGGGTCAAAGACCAGAGCCAACAAAGAACTGGAGGGATTTGAGTTCTTCTAAGCAAGCCCCTCACCCTCCCTCATTCCCTAGCCACCTCCTCCCTCTCTCCTCCTACCCTTCAACACCTTCATTCACAGATGAGGACACTGAGGTCTAGAAGGGGCAGAGGCTGAACCAACGGCATTGTCAAGATCACCCCAGAGCCAGGACTCAACCCATTTTCTGGTGTCAGGAGAGCTCTGCATTGGAGCAGGAGGTGGGAAATATCAGGATTCGTGTGCCCTGGCTTTCTATGAGCTGCTCACTCCAGCGTGGAAGAGGCCCCTGGGACCCTCAGGACCCAGTCAGCACCCATGCAGCCCCTGACTGGGCCCCCAGGAAGGGTAGTGGGGTATGGCCTGTGGTTCCCCACCCCAGGGAGCTATCAACTCACCACTCTGTGCCCAGGCGTGAAGTGCTCACAAACGATGGAAACTCTGGTTTTTAAGACCTTGACTCCTCTACCCCAAGAAAACTCCACCATGTCTCTGATCAACCAGACCACCCTAGGGTTAGAAACCCCTTCTGTCATTCCCCTGTAGTCCGATACAGCCATTAATGGCTCTGTGACATGCTGAATAGTAGTAATTTCATATTTCTTTGTTTTTTAATTCAAACTCACTATTATTCTGACACAAACTTATGCACAAAGATGGGTGAGAAGTTTTACATTGGTCAATGTCTTGGGTCACATTCTGCAGAACCAGAGCCAGAGACAGGGTTGGCTGAGGGGGGACCAAGGAGAAGGGGCCTTGGGGGAGCAGGAAGGCAGGAAAGGAGCCAAGGAAGGACGGTTCCAGCCAGACTCAGCGCCAGCCTGATCCCAGAGTCAGTGCCACTTTGAGGCAAGGAGCCAGACTTTTTACTCCTCCTATGTTGTCTGGTCTTTGTCCCTCAGTCGACCCTGGGCTGGGAGGGTGTAAGCCCTGAGTGATGCAGCTCCCTTGGTGGAGGGAAGCTCTCCAGAGAAGGGGAAGCTGCCAGTGGTTAGCAGGGGTTAGTGGTGGAGGGAATTTGTGTGGGGCACCACATTGACCACTGCACTTGGTATTCAAAGTCCCTGTCTCTAGGACCATCAAATCCATGGGATCTCCAGGTCCCATGATGCAGGAAAAGTTTAAGCCTGAAGGATTTATTTCTGGTCTTCACAGAGACCCACTGGCTTTGGCCCCTGAGGCCCAGCTACCCACACTTCTTAGAACCCCCCCCCAACTTCATCTTCTCAGACCCCAGGAATCCAATTGTTCCCCAGGGTCTGGTGACCAGCCCCCACCCTGACCCTCAAAGCAAAGCCTCCACCCTCCCTGTTCCTGGACAATCCAGTTTCCTCCTGTTTCCTCCAGGAGCCTGGCTGGATACCTCTATTCCTCCCAGGCCCTGGCTCTGGGATACAAAGAGGCTGTTGACTCCTCCCTGGCAGTAAGGAGCACCCAGACTTTGGAACTAGCCTCCTGGGAGAGTGAGTTTGCTTCTCATCCCTTCCGGATGGGTGTTTGGCAGCAAGAAACAACAGCTCATTCTGTGACACACCTAAATCACTCCTGTTGCTTCCAGCCAGTTCTCACTGGCTCCAGAGTATGGAAAATAAACCCTGCTGTCAGCTGCTACTTCCAGCTGTCAGTGCCACCACCTTCGTTCATGGAGAGAACCCAGGGTCGTGACAGCTTCAGGCTCATTGTGGCTTCTGAAAAAGACCTGTGCTTGTTTCTGAAAACAAATTGATCAATTCTCATTGATCAACCTAATACAAGCCCAGTCCCTCTCTAGCATCCCTGGCCTGAAACCAAGCCCTGACCCCGACCCGCACTCAGCCTTGAACTTGTAGAGGCTGGCACCCTAGAAGAAATCTGAATCTGTGAGACAGACGTGTCTACACAAATACTTAAATGTTGTTGCAGAGATGATAGAACAAGCATCATATTACACACGTAAGCTGAGAGTTATGGGTGATGAGGGAGATTTTCTTGAAGGGAAAACTCGATAGGCCAGACTGTCTTGTTCATTTTGGTACCTCCAGAACCCAATCCAGGGGCTGCCATGGAGTAGGTGCTCAGGGAGCAGTGCAAGGGAGGGAGGGAGGGCGCAAGTTGGACCTTAAAATACAGAAAGAGAGCCTTCTGGACAGCAGGAGCAATCTGGGCAGGAGTGGAGTTGGGGCCTGAGGCAGACAGGTGGTCACCATGATCCCTGCTTCCTAGTGTTGACACTCGTGTGATCCTTTCTCTGGATGTGGGCAGGACCTGTGACCTGCTTCTAGAAGACAGAGTGCAGGAAAGGTGACAAGATGTGTGTGATTACGTACACATGATTATATGTTTATGTTATATAAAACTGTCATGTTTATGATCCTATATTATATAAAACTGTCATGTTTATGACTCTGTCTTCCTAGAGTCATCCCCTCACTGGCTGTGAGGAAACAAGCAGCCATGCTGGGGACCCCACATGACAAGGAGCCCCACCAGCCTCCAGCTAATAGCCTGCAGGGACCTCTGGCAGCTGGCAAGAAAACCAGGTCCTTAGTAAATGTTCATTGTTTTAAGCTGCTAAGTTTGTGGTCATTTGTGACACAGCAGACAACTAGTACAGGGCTGTACTGGGAAGGAAGGCTTGATGGCGCTTTGGGTCATTGGGATAGTTGAGGGTGGCTATCAGGTGTCAAAATATTAGGCTTTAGTGGGGGCAGGGGTAGTGGGCAACAGCTGATGGCAGCTACATGTTACTGCGTACTTGCTACATGTCACGCACTGTGCTGAGTGCTGTCCATGTACCAACTCATTTAATCCTCACAAATGCAAGTATTTAGGGGTTATTATTATCCCCATTTCACAGACATGGAAACTGAGATTTCCACGGAAACGGAGAAGTTAAGTACCTTCCCAAGGTCACACAGTGGTGGAACTAGAACTCAAAGCAAGAAGCCCAAGTGCACCATCCCCATTCCAAAGTGCTTCATCATACCCCCTTGAAGAGCTGGGGAGCTGCAGTGTCAGTCTGAGGAACTACGTTCTTCAGGCAACGGGAGCCCTCGAAGGTGGGGTTGGGAGAGTGGCACAGGCCGTTGTGTGTTTTGGAAAGCCTTCTCCGGCAGCGCAGTAAGGTAGGTGGGAAACCAGGCTGTGAGTGGTTTTACAGAGGGTGGAGGAGTAAGAGGGGAGACCCAGAGCCAAGCACTCAGGGATGGGCTGGAGGTAGCGGAGGACCAAGGGGCAGAGCTGAGGTGCTGATCAAAAGCCAGCCAGGTCAGCAAGCATCGCTAGGGTCCGGCTGGATTGCAGTGCCCTGGTGGCCTCCAAGCCCTGCTACCTCTGCTCTGCAGCCCTGTAGCCTGTTCCTCCTCCTGCCAGGGTGCGGGGGGCTAAGGGGGGTTGAGCCCTCGGTCAGTCCCTGGGCAGTTGGCTGGTGCCCTTGAATGCTCTTCCCTCCTCCTCCAAAGGCCCCTGGAAAGGGCACTTGAGGGTGACTGTCATTGCCCAGCATAGAGGCCAGGTGGGCATAGCCAAAGCCACCCTGGAGGTCAGATCCCTGCTCTCCCAGGGCAGGGCACCCTCCTTGCCTCGAGACTCAGGTTTGCCCGGGATCCCACTGAGCACATCTCTGCAGCTTCCACAGCCCCCGACAGAAATGAAACAAAACTGGGCACTGACGGGGATGAGCCAGGCTTAGGGAAACGCTGCAATTAGCTTTTTAATCTGGTGCATTACAAATCTCTAAGACATCCGGAGCTCCAAGCCTCAAAGCGGCTGATCCCACGCTAGCTCAGGAGGATAGTGGCTTCTAGCTGGATCCCCTGGCAGCTGGCACTTCTGGGCAGAGCTGCCCTGAAGCCAAAACATGCACCAGTGGCTGGACGGGCTCTCCCGGGGGCCTCCACAGGAGGAAGTGCCCAACAGCTTAGCAGGTGGAGCGGGGCCCAGTCTGCCTGCCTGTTGCCATCTCCTCTCCTGTGCCCTGGCCGAGCCCCCCTCCTTGCAGTCCTGTCCTCCCTGGACTTTCCAACTGGCTTTTTTTTTACTATTCCTGCACCTTCCATTGGGGATGCCCTCCTCCACCCTCAAACCCCACTGGGGTTTTCACAGGCTAGCGCCTCCCTGACACCTCCTGGCTCCCAGTAGAGATGCTCCCTCCCTTCCTGAAGTCTCCCTAGCATCTTGTCTGCCTCTGGTGGCCCAGACAACAGTTTGTCTCCTGTAAACTACTATCTCAGTGTTTAATTTCTTCCCGTCCAAGCCACCTCCAGCCAGTGCTACATCTGGTTCGTCTTTGCACTCTTCCACATCCAGCCTGCAGAGCTCCGTCCAGGGACCCCCAAAACATAGGCATGAGAGCACGATGGGTGGGGGGAGCCCTGAAGGAGGCCAGTGCACAGGAGGGTGTTTCTAACAGTTAGCAGAGGTTCTCTCCCCTTCCTCTCAAGCAGCCTGTGGACCTGAATGCATCACCCAGGAAAGGGAGGTGGAGCAGACTGTGCCCTGCCCATATCCCCTTTGCATGCACCTCCCTAGCAGAACACACTTGTAACTTTCTACTGTGAGCACCTACCATTTCCTGCCCATGGGCTTTTCTGGGCACAGGACATGCAAGGACAATGCCATGGGCAGGCTGGGGTCAGGCCTCCCTGGGATCACCTCGAACCACAGCAGATGGGAGTTGATGAAGAGACACCCCGGCTTCCTTGACCTACAAACAGGAATGGGAACACCCTGAGGTGTGTTCTATACAGTCTCCAAGCCCCAGCCCCCCACAGTGGCAACCCGCTCACTAACCTTCCCTTTCTCTCTCACCCCCACTCCCCTGCGAGTGCTTCCTGGGATGGCCTCCCAAATAAATTACCTGTGCTCAAGTTCTGGTCTCAAGGCCTGTTTCTAGAGGAATCCAACGGGAAGCAAGGGACTAGAAAGGAGAGAAACACCTGTGAGTCCACCTGGCTTATAGAAGATGCCAGATGCCCCTGAGGACAGTATCAAGACTCATAGAAAGTGGTGACAGCAGAAAAAGTCATGAAACTCAAAAGCAAAATTTCCTAGGCCCACTCCCCAGACAGAGCCCCCTGGAGGCAGAAAGACCCCAAAGAGGGAGTGGACATGCTGGGTGGCCCTGCAGAAAAGACTCTGCCTGTCCCCTGGAGATCTGGTTCCCCAGGCATAGCCAGAGCCTTGGGCAGTTTTCTGACCACAGGCACAGCAAGCAAGCAGCAGACCACCATGGGTACCCCTATCAGCCCCCAGAGCTTTGACTCAACTCCCCAAAAAGGCAACAAACCTGGAAAACCAATGGGATTTAGTTTTCTGCCATGGTAGCCAGAGCAGGGGCCCAGAATCAGAAATAACTTGAGTTACGCAAAATAGTTTCTTACACGCCTAAGTTTAAGGATCCAGTAGTAGCTGCTAAACCAGCACCCCTTCCTCTTTTCCTCTTCCAGGTTCTCACCTGCTGCCTAGGACCACCCAGGATGCTTCGGGGTCAGCACTGGAAACAAAGCCCTGCAATAGCCCCAACACCTCCTTCCTGGATGATGCTGCCCCTAATCCACAGGAGAACTCGAGTTTAGTGAGGCCCCTTCTATATTTCTCCACTCCCTTTGGGATCTCCTGGGGCTCAGAGGTTCCCCAGCACCATGCCCAAGCCACCTATCAGGAGGGCAGAGTTGGGGACAGGGACATACTCCCAGTCCTTTCTCAGGAGATGGCCAATACCTTCCAGCCCCGCCCTCCTTCCCCCGCCCCAACGCCCAGAAGCCAGGGTGGGCATGTCTCCTGACTCCCCTCTTGTCCCCCATGTCTGGATGCAGAACATCTGCACAGGCCACACATGCTGGCGGGGGGGCCCGACCTCAATGGCTCAAGCCAACCCACCCAGGCAGGGACAGAGTCTCCAGCTGGGGCCATGTGGCCTGACAGGGTGACGGATCTCAGTTAAGGCTTCCATAGAACAGAGAATCTTAGCCCTGGGTCAAATGGCCCCCAAGAAATACATGAATAGAAATTTAGGGGGTCCATATATACAAGTAGGAAAAAATGGCTACTTTATTCCATTTTAACTAAAGTTTAGCATTTTCTTTGACTATGAAAGTAGGCCAGTGGTATCAGCAGGAGCTATCTATGACTTTGCCACCAATAGAAATTTCATACATTTTCATCTCATATCACCATTGGTAAAGATGTCTCAAAATGTCACTTACTCTAATCACTACTTTAAAATCACTGTGGTTACTCAGCTTGCCAGTTGATCTTGTCGTTTGATACATGAATAAAGAAACACATATGTATCACTATGACTCAAATTGATTTCCTTCATAATCTTTTTTTTTTTTTTTTTTTGAGACTGAGTCTAGCTCTGTTTCCCTGGCTAGAGTGCCATGGCATCAGCCTAGCTCACAGCAACCTCAAACTCCTGGGCCAAAGCGATCCTCCTGCTTTAGCCTCCTGAGTAGCTGGGACTACAGGCATGCGCCACCATGCCTGGCTAATTTTTTCTATTTTTAGTAGAGATGGGGTCTCGCTTTTCCTTCATAATCCTTTATGTTTTATTTTTTATGCATTTAAAAACATCCTAGTGAGGGTTCATGGGCTTCAGAAGAAGTGAAAAGGTTCATACCCCTGCCATGGAGAGACCCCAGGAAAGAGGGCAGCAGGTGGGACCCGGCCAGGAGGGGCTCTCATTCAATGCTTGCAGAGGTGGGCGGGAGAGCTTAGAAACCAGTGTTCTGGGCCAGGGGCTGTGCTGCCAGACTGCCCAGAAAAGGGCTTTTCTCCATCTTGTCTTCTTTCTATTAATAATTATTTTTTAAATTTATATTTATGCCTTCAACTTCTGAACATTTCCAGTCTGCCCAACACGGCAGTATAGCAGGGGAGAGTTCCTGGCAGGGTGGAGTAGAGAACAAGAGCCTGGTGGGCGGCAGGCTGCAGGCCCCTGGATTGGGGTTTATTCAGGGACGCACGGGGCAGCCCTCCACTTCCCAGTTGGGGGTCTGGGAGTGACAGCACCCACATTCCAGGGTTTTCCTGGAGAGGGACCATGTTGGCTGTCACTCAAGGCAGGTGAGACAGGGTCAGGAAATGAGGTCCCAGGCATGAGCTAGAGCAGCGGTCCCCAACATTTTTGGCACCAGGGACCATTTTCATGGAAGACAATTTTTCCATGAAAAAGGCCAAAGGTTTCCAGCAACCACCAGAGGCTAGACGAGACAGGTGGGCTTCTCACAGCCCTCAGAAACCAGCTCTACTGACACCTCCATCTCAGACTTCCAGCCTCCAGAACTGTGAGAAAATAAATTTCCGTTTTTTAAGCCACCAAGCCTGTGTGACATTAATACTTTGTTACAGCAGGCGGAGCAGACCAGTACAAGAACTGACGCAGACAGCATTCATGGGATAGTAGGGCAGCCAGGTGGCAGAGTCCTGGGCCCCTGACATTCCAGCTCCAGCCCCACCCCAACCCTGGCTTCTCTGGGAAAAGGAAATAGACTTCCATCTTATCTAAGCCACTGTTCTTTTGGTCTCTGCCGCACGAAGCTGAAGGTCTATCCTAACAAATACAGCACCTAAACTCCCCCCCCAAACGTGTGCCCTCCTGATGGATTTCACATGGAAATGAGTCCCCGGAAATAAAGAAATACATGGAGAGAGCACTGTCTTCCATATGGTGAAGACTGCCTCCCCTTCACACACAGACATTAGCACTTCTTCCATATGAATGCAGGAGCCAGCCTGAGGCCGTCCCCACTGTGAAGGAGCACACATGCCGGCAGGGCTGAGGGGACCTGCGGAACCGGAACCGGAACCGGAACCGGAACTAGACCCAGAACCGGAACCGGAACCAGAACCGGAACTGGAACCACGCTGACTCCACTCGCTAAGGTAAAAGAAAGAGCAGCAGATCCAAGACAGACTCCGCCAGGCGGGGGCAGAGGCAACCGGAAGGGCACAGGAAGTGCCTCTCTGTGTCCTGGAGCTAAGACACCCCACAGGCTCTGTCCCCACTCCTCCCCAAGGTGGGCTCTGCTGTCCCTGAGCAACTCGAGGACTATTGGAACTCTTTATGTTCCTTGTGACAGAAACCTAGCATACGCTTAGGCAGAGAAGAGATTTATATCTCAGAAACTCCAAAGTCCACGGGCTCTAGATGCAGCTGGATTCAGGAACTCAAACAATGTCCTCAGAAATCTGTCTCTTGGATCTGATTTCCTTGTGTTGGCTCAAATCTCAAGACACGTAAATAGGGCCACATCGGCAGCAGGCCTTCATGTTCCTGGCATGATAGCAGAAAAGCAAACATTTTTCCCATAGTTCAGGGCAAAAGTTCCAGAACGGACGCTCATTGGCCCTGCTTGGGTCATGTGACCATCAACATGGCTCTCATTGGCCAGACCTGGGTCATGTGCTCACCACTGGAGCCAGAGTGGAGATGAGCCCCACCCAACAGGGAACCACTGGGCCAAGAGTAGGGGAGCTGTGGTTTCCTTCCCACTGTAAGGACACTGTGTGACGGACGTGTTCTACATGGGTGTGTTTCCACACTGACACCAGGAGGACAAGGAAGTGACTCCAGCAGCCGAACGGCCAGCATGATGTGCCAGGCTAGAGCAGCATGGCAAAGCATGTCCAAGCCACCCCTGCGGAGGAGAGGCCAAGACCCCAGCCCTAGTCTGGCCCTAGATTAAGGGATCTTCAGGCCCAGGTGTGCCCGTAATTGGCGTGTCCCCTAGACCAGGGTGAGATATTTCTTTAAAACACTCGGTTCTGTGCTATCCTGGGGCAGGAGTCCTCCTTGTGGTCATCTGCCACTCCACAGTGACCCTCAAATGTGGCCTTGGCTCCCACAAGGCCTCTGCCTGCTACCCCTCCTGTGCTCTCACACTGCAGGTAACACACACACACAAACACACACAAATACACACACACACACACACACACACACACTCCTGCCACCAGTCCAAAACCTCTCTTCCTGATCTTCCCTTCAAGGCACCCACGTAGGACACATCCGTCACCCAGTGCCCTTCTGGTGGGGAGGAAACCACAGCTCCTCTACTCTTGGCCCAGTGGTTCCGTGGTTGAGTGGGGCACATCTCCACTCTGGCTCCAGTGGTGAGCACTTGTCCCAGGCCTGGCCAATGAGAGCCACTCCCACTGAGCCCTCCCCTGATCCACACCACCCAGAAGGGCTGAGCCCAACCTGCAGCCCCCACACACGCACCACCTACCTCATCCCCGCAGGGATGACCTGGGAGCTCCCAGGCCAGGGGATTAGCTCCCTCCTTGTTCCCTCCCTACCCCAGGTCCTCCCTCTGCAAGACAGAGGCCAGGCAGGTGCACATCCAAAGGGGATATAAATAATGTCATATCTAGGCCACCGCAAAACAAAAGAAGCCAACAGCCAACTCAGGGTGGCTTCCCAGAGTGGCGGCAGCTGTCAGGGTTCACTTGGGCTGCAGCAGGGCCACTAATGCTGTCAGGGCCCCTGTCCTCTTCTTTCTGGGCCCTGTCCCATCTCGGGCAAGAGGAAGCCTAGGGCAGGAACAGCTGGCAAGGGGCTCAGGCCTGGACAGGCTCCAGGACAGGGAGGAAGTGAGAGAGACTTGTGTAGCTGAGGCTATTTTTACCCAGATCAGTGCAAACAGAGGCATGGGCTGGTCCAGCCAGTTCCTCTCGTCTCTTGGCAGCTGGCCTGGAGGTCCCTTGCCAGGTAGGTAGTGCCCACTGGGTGGGGATCCAGAGGGGAGGGATGAGTAGAGAAAGGGCAGATGTAACAACTGCCCCTCAGGTGCCCCAGTGACTCCCTGCCTTGAGGCCCTGGCTCTCCTCTGGGTGCTGTGGACTCAGAGACTCAGAGGCCGCCTGCTGGGAGCCAGCCACACTGTCTCACTTCCACATCAGGAGTGCGGGCTGGGGCTGGGCTCAGGTCCAGGGGTCACTGTGGGGTCAGAAGTCAGGCTGGACTGAGGCCTGTGATCTAGTCAGGTATCATCCTGGGGTCATGGGTCAGCCTGAATGGAGGCTGTGATCAGGGTTAGGGATCAGGTTGGGGTCAGGGGTCAGCCTGGAGTCACGGGTAACCCTGGCTGGAGGCCCGGATCAGAGTTAGAATCAGCCAGTGGTCACGGGGCAGGCTTGGCCGACGCCTAGAGTCAGAGATGGATCTGAGCGAGAAAGGCCTCTGGGGAGGGCTCCGTTTCTCTCGCTTGTCCAAGCTTCGCTGACCCACTCTGGCCTCTCATCCCCGGCACGGGCCCCCCAAAGTCTTCCCAGAGGGCATGACTGGCATGGATTCAAGCCCTGGGGCTTAAATGACAAAGTCTCCCCTGAGAGATGTGCTGAAGAAGGCATTCCTGGCAGAAGGAAGGGCGCGGGCAGAGGCAGAAGTGTGACCGTGCACGGCGGACCGCAAGGCAGCGCCCGGGCTAGGGGGAGGAGGGAGGCTGCAGGACCCGGGCAGTGAAGAGCCTCCAAGGCCAGGCAAGAAGGGCCTGCAAGGGCCTTTCCCCAGAGCAGGGTGAGAGGGCAGCATTAGAAACCTGGGGGCAGCTGTCTGTGGCCATACCACCCTGAGCACACCGATCTCGTCTGATCTCGGAAGCTAAGCAGGGTCGGGCCTGGTTAGTACTTGGATGGGGGACACCTGGGTGCGGAGGGAGGGCAGGGTCAGCTCTGGGTTTTAAGAAAACTCATTTATTCATTTGTTCATTCAATAAATATGAATAGAGACCCTACTATGCGCCAGGTACTGTTCTAAGGACTTCAGGTACATTGTGGAACAAGACATCTGAAAATCCCTGCCCTCATGGAGCTGATATTCTGTTACTAGAAGGGGAGAGACAGATAATGGCTGTAATAAAGTAAATTCATGAAAAATTGAATGACATGGACCTTAGAAGGTGATAAGGACTATGAAAACAAACTAGACAGAGTAAGGAGGTTTAGAAGTTGAGGGAGGAAGCAGGTTACAGTACTGAGGAAAGAGGGCAGCATTGAGAAGAGAGGTAGGGAGCCATGGAGATATGTAGGGGAGAGCATTCCCAGCAGCTGGAACAGCCAGTGCAGGCCCAAAAGCAAAAGAGGGTCTAGGAATAAATTCCCAAGATAGCAAGGAAGCTGCAGTGGCTGGAGGGAGAGCAGGGAGGATAAGAAGGGAGATGAAGGGGAGTCACGGAGGATCACTCAGGCCTGGAGGGCATCATGAACTAAGAAGCCACAGGATCTCGCTGAGGTTTTTACATTATGTTCCAAAATAGTCAGTCCTAGAGAAACAGGTTAAATGACGCCACAGGGACACAATCAGCAAACTCCACCTGTAGGATACTGGTGTACAGAACCAACAATCCAGTTTTCATCAAAGGAGAGCTTGGGGAAAGAGGCACAAACAGAGACAGAGGAGCCTCGATATGAAATTCTAACACGTGCATCTGCCTGCAACAGACAACTGACAGACAATGAAGGCACTTACAAGGCAAAGAATGAAATTGAAATAATGACTGGGTATTTAACACTACTAAGGAAAGTTGGTGCTTTGTAGGTGTGGAATGGTGTTGTGGGTAATGGTATTGTGGTGATTTTTTTTTAAGAGCCCTTATCCTTTAGAGATACATACTGAAATATTTACAGCTAAAATGGTGGATATGCAACTCGATTCAAAGTGATCATGGTTGAGGTGGAGGCACAGAGGAAGCAAATGAAGGGATGGGTGCAGGAGAGATCATTATATTATTAATATTTTATCCAATTCACGTATTCTGAAGCTCTTTTTAGGAAATTAAAAGACAATAATAATAATAATAATACAATACTCAACCCAGATGGTGAGATTGGAGAGAAGGGTGCCAAGGAGAAAGCAGAGATTCTGAGGAAGCTACTGCGGTGAGCAGGTGAACAGGTAAGCAGGGGAGGGAAGAGGTGAAGATGACCTGAGACTGGAAGCAGAGGGTGGGACAGAAGGGGCAGGGACGGGCTTGTAAGGGAAGACTTCAGGGCATTGGGCTTCCTCCTCCCCCACCCCACCCCTTCCTTTCTTCTCTCCCAACTTTCCTTCCCCTGGCCACCCTCCCTTCCCTCCTCCTCCCTCCTCCCTCATCTCTCCTCTCTCCTGCCTCTCTTCATCCTCAGTGAGCATCTTCCTGGCCTTGTTCCCACCCAATTGGTTTGTCTCCGCAACTAGGTTGCCACCCCAGCCTCCTGGGCCTGCTCTCTCCTTGCTGAAGGCTACCTGCTCTGAGTTTCTTCCAAAGGAGGAAAGAGGGTGCTTCTGGGGCTACCCCACCACTCTCCTTACAGTGAGCATCACCCTAGCAGTTCTGGTCCCACTTGGAGGCAGGTGGATGTGGGGACATGGGGGTGCTGGTAGGGCCCAACTTTGCAAAGCGAGCAGGAGATATTCTTTTCTGTTCTTCTCCCTGGAAATGATTCCTCTCTCAGCAGATCTCTCACTGCAGAGGAGGGTTGAGCCTGGGGGGAAAGCAGAAGTGGCCTCAAGACATTTCCTGTCCAAGCATTTGTTTTCAGTTGCCAAGCCTGGGAACTGGGGAGAAGAAGGGGAGGACTTCCCTAGGATTGCTCCAAACTGCCTCCTTCGAGCAGTGCTCCTCACCTGCTCCTGCCTCAGGACAGGGACTTCAGGGCACTCCAAGAGGCTGGACCCTGGACACGAGCCCCAGCCCCACCAAATTCTCAGGCCCCAAACCCCCAGCCCCTGGACTTGCTAGGACCGTGCAAGTTGGGCTAATGCAGGTCTTGGCACCAGCCAACATGGCCCAGCAACGAAGGGAAGGATAGAGGGAAGGGCCTCCCTAATGCTTTCCCGAAACAAGCCACCCAAAACCCAAGCAAGGCTGAAGTTCTATTTTCTGCCAATCTGGTGTAATGAAGGTGTAAAGTCAAAATTAATTTGAATTCTAGAAAATAACAACAAGCTATATTTCTTGAGCCTGAGTCTATGGACTGAGATTGCTTCCCAAATGAAGGAAAGGCTGGGAGGAAGACCGAGGGCTTCTAGCTCCAGTGAGGCCTGGAGCTGGCTGCTGCAGACCCCACACTGTTCCTGTCCAATGGCGGGCACCAGCCCACCTCGCCACATGTGGACAGCCATCATGGACTGTGCCACTTTCAAGAGGGCCTTGGGACTCTAAAATAGCCTTGTCTCCCTGGAGAGAGTAGACACGCACACCCAGAGATATCAGAGGGCAGAGCATGAGGCTGGGACTCTGGGAATAATCAGAGTAATCAGATGATAAGAAGCGTTTAGTGAGCATGGCTGTTTGCCTGTCGGCACAGCCAGGCCTATGTCCCCAGAGGCCTCCTTGCTGGACACCTGTTCCTGGAGTGGGGGGCAGAAGAAGGACCAGAGCTAGTTTCTCTTAACCTAGCCCAGGTCTCTTGCTCTTTCTGCCTGGTCTTCAAGCCACAGCCCGAACCCAGTCCTAGGGCTCACCCTGCAGTCTGGGGAATCACACAGTGGCCACTGCAAAGGCCTCGGTCAGATCCTGCTGATCTGTGAAAAGAAAGCCGAATAGATGTGCCCACCCCTACCCTGAAAGACAATGTCTGTGCCTGCATTTCCCGGGACATTTCTTCAAACCCCAAGGCCCTTGTCAGAGTGGCACACATCAGCTGTGTCCACCTTCTCTGTGCATGGAAGCCCAAACTCTGAGCCCACCCCTTTCTGGAAACATCTGGTTTCCCAAGAGCAGCCTCCATGTCACCAGCCTGCACCTTCTCCTCCAGTCTCGACTCCTGCCTGGCTGGTGAGGCGGTCAGCTGATGACAGACTTGCCCCCAACAGTCCCCACTGGGCAGCCATGATTTATTTCCCTTGCGTCAGCTCAGGAAGGGAGATGACTTTGTAGTTCATTGGCCTTGTTATTTAATTTTTGCTTCTATGTTGATGCATGAACATGAATTCAACATTAAATGTTAAATTAAATAATATTAAATTCATAAATTTATTTATTAATATCCATTAAATTTTAAAATGGAGATATGGTTTTCTTTATTTACCCTATCCTTGCTTTGTTTTAGTATCAGCATTATGATACTTAATAGAATATGCTGGAAAAAGTTCCATCTTCTTTGCTGGTTTTGAGCAGTTTAATTACATAGGAGTTATCTGTGCCCTAAAGATTTTTAAAATTCTCCTATAAAACTACCTTAGCCTGCTATCTTTGTTAGGGACAAATTTAATAATTTATATTTCTCTGGAAAAACACCCATTTCATCTAGATGTTCAATATGCTCAGAAGGCAGAGCATGAGGTAAAGATAGTATCTTCTTATAGTTTTTAAATTCTATTCCTAGTACTATGTTCCTTTTCTTTTATGTTTCCACTTCTATTCTTGATCAGGTTTGCTAAACCTTTGTATATTTACTAGTCTATTCAAGAGGAAGGTGTATTTATTTTATTCATTCATTCAATATTTGATTTTGATTTTATTACTTTCTATTTTTATCTTTACTAATTCCTTCCTTCTTTCTTTGGATTTAATTTGTTGTTTCTCTTCTGGTATGTTTAGCTGTAAACTTATTTCACTAATTTTCAGTCTTTATTGTAATAAATGTAATTAAGGCTATCAATTTTCCTCTAATTACTATGATGTTAATATCTCTCCTGTTTTATTAGTCATATTGATTGTTTATTCATTTTTAAATAATTAGTCATTTCAATTTTTACTTTCTTACTACAATATTTACTTAGTAGGGTGATTTTTGATGTTTTTTAAATATATTAATTATGTATGTATGTGAAATATTTCCAAACATAGGAGAAGAGAATAAGAAAATTAAACCCAAGGTGTCCAACACCCAGTTTTTTTAGACCTTAACATAATGCCATATTTGCTGTAGATATTTTTTAAAGAAATAAAACATTCAGTGCAATTGAGGACTCTGTGTATCCCTCCTGTGGTTGGCAGAATTCTAAGGCGGCACCCAAGATGCCTTCCTCTTGGTGTGCACACCCTGTATAATCCCCTCCCCTTGAGTGTAGGTGGGCCTCACTTACTCAGGTGAGCCCTTTTTTGAAAGGCTCTAGAGATCAGAGACAGAAGTTAGAGAGCTTCAAACTGCAGCAGATGCTGTCTTGTTGGCTTGGTAAAAAAATAAAGTAAGCATCTATGTTATAAACTGCTTATGAGGAGGACTATGTGGCTAGAAACTTGAGGTCAGCCTCTAGGAGCTGACAATGGCCCCAAGCCAATGACTAGAAAAAAAAAAAACGGCAGTCCTATCTCCGCAAGGAATTGAATTCTGCCAACAACCTGAATGAATTTGAAAGAGGACCCTGAGCTTCATATGAGACCACAGCCCTAGATAACATCTTGACTTCTAGCTAACCCAGATCTAAGCCTCTGACTATAGAAAATGTGAGATAATAAATGAGTGTTGTTTCAAGCTTCGATATTTGTGCTTACTTGTTATACAGCAGTTGAAAACTAATACATCTCCCTTATTCCATTCCTTTCCCTCTCTCTGCAGAGGTAACCAATAACATGTCTTTGGTGTTTATCATACCTGGACATTTTTTACACTTTGCTACATATTTATGTATCCATAAAAGTTACATAGCAGTGTTTGTGGATTTTAAACGCTATATAAGTAACATGTACCCTATATACCATTCTGTAATTTACTTTCCTTGCTCAACACCATATTTTTAGTTATATATACCCCTATAGAGAGATGTGGCTCTAGTTATTTTGACAGCTGAATGGAATTCCTGGGAGAAGGGTGTTCAAGTCTTCCACCATGACTGTAGATTTAACAGTTCCTCCTTTTTAATGTATCCTTTGTATATAACTTCAGACTATTTTATTAGATGCATAGATGTTTAGCAGTTTATTTCTTCTTGATAAATTGATGGTCTAACAATATGAACTATCTTTGCACTTTTTAATGTTTTCCATTTAAAATTCTTACTCATTCACATAGACTATGATGATTAATATTTGTATATGATGATTAATATTTGTAATTATTTTTGATATCTGATTTTATGCTTCTATTTATCATGCATTTTTGTTTTGAATCCTCCTATATATAAAAATCTTTTATCAGATTAATGGAGTTTTCTTGGTTTCATTTTTTTCCTTCTTTTATGAGATTAATAAAATTTTCTTGGTTTCATTTTTTCTTTCTTCTGGTTGTTTAGGAGTTACATAGGGACTTCCTTTGTTTTTTTTCAGTGAGTATCCTTAAATTTTTAACACACACAATAATGCTAAGCTGGTGACATCAATTATGTTACTTAAATTCCATGTCTGTTTTGTGCCTCCCACATTTTCTCCGCTTTCCAGAATTAGAACCTCTGCCCGAGCTCGGCTACACACCAATTCACAGGAAAACAGGGCTGGGGATGGGGGAGTGAGCGTGAGAACTTTGAGATCCCCTGTGGAGTTAGTCTGAGCTCTCCCTGGGGTGGCAAATGCCCCCACAACCCTCTAAGAATTCACTGCCTCTGAAATGAGCTCTTAGGGCTGTTCTGGTACCGTCTGGTGCCCTCGTCCTGAGCACCCTCTCTGGGACTCATCCCCTCTCTGCCCCATCTACTCTGCCCCCAACTCTACCTTCTCCTACTGGCCAGGCCCTACTGTCAGACCCCTGGCTGGGAGCAGATATGTCTGCATAGACTCATGCCCAAGCACAAGGACACACACTCACATGCTCTTATACATGGGCACACAAAGACATGCATGAACACACACATACACACACACACACACACACACACACACACACAGATGCTGCAGTAAGCATTTGACCAGAGACTGTGGCTTGCTGTTGAATAGTAGACAGCAGGGAGCAGTCTTCCCCTCTGGAGTCTCCCAGACTCACTGCACCATGCTCCCCATGCTAAGCTGCCTGATGACAGACTACTGACCCCCTGGACCAAACTGAGCCCTGGAGTTTTCCGGAAAGGAGTTCTTATCTGGCTTATCCTCTCTGTGCCCAGCCTAGGAGCTCTCAGGGGTAGGACCCTGGTCTCTTTTTCCTCTGTCCCCTGGAGCAAGAGCTCTCTCACTCCCCTTCATTTTCCATGCCTCAGTTTCCCTCTGATGTAGCTATAGAGGTACATCACTTGGATCTTTCTCAAGAAACAGCTTGCCATTCAGCTATGAGGAGTGCAGTGAGCACACAGCGTTTGAGCCAAGGCCATGCTCTTCCCAGATAGCCCCACCATTGACTGAGCACAGTAGGGTTGCTAAGATTGCTCTGTGCAACCTTTGCATTGGACCTCACTGGCTCTTTCAGATCTGCATCACCGTCCAAAGCTCTCTCTGCCCAA